AAGAGCAAAGAATAGAAAATCAAAGAAAAGTAAATACAAATCACAAGATTAGATGCTAGAAATGAAGCAGCATCAGGGATTACAATACATTAAGATGGAATAAATTCTCAATTTAAAAGATAGATTTATAGATTTTTATATATTTATCAGAAACAAAGCAAAATTAAAACTTAAAACAGATTAAAATTTTAAAAGAACATACAGAGGTCAAAAGTTAGAGAGAGAGAAAAGATATATCAGATAAATACTAACCAATGGAAGGAATCATTCAAGCCTGCCACAGGTTTCCTATTTATTTGAAAGCCAGCTTGGTCTGCCACTTACTAGCTCTGCACTTGAGCAAAATATTTAATGTCCCAGAGCCTTAGTTCTCTCACCTGTGAAACAGACACAGACACAGACACAAGGTCCTCTCATAACATCATTTTGTTCAATGTCATTTAGTCTTAACACTGATGAGAAAAAATAAATCAATTCCTGGGTAGGGCCACTGTCTCTATGGAGTCTGCATGTTCCCCCCATATCTGCATGGATTTTCTCTGGGTACTCCAGATATTTGGGAACAAATATGTTTCCTAGTTTTATAGGTCCACAGATGGAAAATTTTCCCCAAGGCAATCATACCCAGGTTCTCACTCATACCTGCCTTAGATGATTAAGATGATGAGATATGGGACTTTTGAGCTGCTAAGATTTAGACTATATATTGGACTTTGAGCTGATACTGTAATAATTGAAACTTTAGAAGATATTGGGACAAGATAAGTGAATTTTACATGTGAGATAGATATAAATCTTTGGGAACAGATTAGCTGTGGAAGTTAATGCCCCCACCCGCCCCCCGCCCTGAAACATGTCCATGTCTTTCTCCCCAGAACCTATGAATGTTACTTATGTGGCGAAGGCACTTTGAAAATGTGATTAAGGATCTTGGGATGGGAGATTATCCTGGGTAGTCCAACATAATCACAGTGGTCCTCCTAACAGGCAGGATGGTCAGAAACAGAGACGTAAAGTAGAAGCAGAGGTTGCTGGATACAGGGCCATGAGCAGCCTCTGGAAGCTAGAAAAGGTAAGGAAATGGATTCTTCCCTAGATCCTCCCGATGAAACACAGCCCTGATGATACCTTGATTTTAGCCCACTAAAACTGATTTTGGACTTCCGCACTCTAGAGTTCTGAGAGAACAAATCTGTTTTGCTTTAAGGTGCAAAGTTTGTGGCACTTTGTTACAGCAGCAAAAGGAAATGAATTCAGGAATCGACATGAACATAAAGCACACACTACCTGCTGTGCTGTAATGAACTTCTTTTCTCTGACCCAAGGGTCTTCTGCCAGCACCCAGAAAGCTGTGCCAGGCTAACTTGTTAGCTTCAAGAGGGGTAAAATCCTAGATCCTTCACAGTTCTTGACATTTAGTTCATAAAAATGATATAGTCATGGGTGTTTTTCCAACTTTTAAATGTTCTTCAGTCTTGTAATAAATCTATTTCTAAATAAGTTACCATTTAAATAGCTTTGAATCTTAATAAGAAATAGCTCATGGGTTATATTTGGTTAGGTAAATTATGAATAATATTCATATTCGTAGAAGTTAATAAAATCAGCATTCTTCACTACTCTTGCTCTCTTTTCTGAAAATAGTCATAAAAACAGCAAGTTTTTTTTTTTTTGCAAAAATGTGTTAAAGCAGCTTTAATTACAAAAAATATTTCACTCCTTGCTTTGTTTAGTGTTAGAGTCTTAAAGGATGATATTTCCCTCCAAAGACATTATGGAAAAGGGATTTCTTTTGGTGGGATAATTACTAATTATAGAAGTTAGGAGGCATTATAAACAAGGAATAATTTTAAGAAGGAAATAAAAAACCTGGATGTATAAAAACAAAGAACCAGAGGAAATTCTTGTGCAATCAAATACATTTATTTTTTAGCAAGACAAGTGGTGAACAAATTCATAATGAAATGCCACCCAGAGATTAGCAGCTGGCCGGCCATGCATGCAACTGACAGAGTGAGAAACCAACCAATTGTTTCTGATACCAGTGTGCAGGTTTAACTCTATGTTGCACCAGGCCACTCTGAATATCTGTTGGCGGGGTATTTAGCACCCATTCACCATCTCAGCTCAAAGCCACATACTAGCCAGATGACCATCACCTACACATCTACCAAATAAATAGGCAGCATGCAAATGCACTTTTCTTGTTCAGTAGCCAGTGGCACAGCAGTGTGACCAGAGGCAGATACATCAACACAGAGATACACAAAAGTCACCCCCTTCACTCAGCTGATAATCTTTCCTACATTCCTTGGGGACAGAAGTGCCATGCGATGTAACATGAATTAGGACTCCTTGAGGGCAGGGGGTAGGGCCGACCCCAGGTTTGAGCCTGGGTGGCAGAGATTCTCAGAAAAGCTGTTTCAGCACAACCAACAGAAATGTTGCCCACAGTGACTGTGTGAGACGAGTCTCCTGATGTCCTAGTAGAAACTCAGGTTCCTAATGAAAGCTGCAATCAGTTAAGAGTGGAAGGTGCAGACATTTGGGGGATCCTACAGTAAGAGGTGGCAGCACCCTCATTTCTAATGCTTTATGTATATATCCCAGCCTTGTCTGGATACAAACTCATAAGTTCATAAAATATTAGAGGTGGGATAGATTACCTACTCCAGACTCCTCACCTTACAGTTAGAAATGTGGCAGCCCAGAGGTGTAAGGCAACTTGCTAAAGGTAGAGCATGGTAGCGGCAGGGCCAGAGTGGAATGCAGTATGATAACTGCCACCCCGAGGAATGCTGACACTGAGCATGTGGCCAAATTTTTCAACAAGATGAGACAGTGTACTTTATTCCCAAAAAAAGTCCCAAATATGTAAAGGCATAAAACATGGCTTAATCGGCTCTCTTCTGAGGGGCTCTCTGTCTTTCTCTCTCTCTGTCTCTGTCTCTTTGTCTCTTCTTTCTCTCACACACACAAGCATGCACACAATTTATTACCCTTGCTGAGTGGAGTTTTCTTGGTAGACACACACAGATCCAACATCTTCAGGAAGACACTTTACAGAGCATGTTTCTCAATCCAGGTCTTTGTGTGAGCTCTGGGAAACTGGCTTATTTTCTAGAACAATAGGCGGTTCTGATATCAGAAGATCATCATCTCCAAAGGAGGAGTTCTGGTCCGTGTTTACAAAGTTGGGGATGTCAAATTTCATGAGCCTATTCAGCTCCTCCTCTGGCCGCTCGCTGCTTCTGATGACTTCCTGGAGTTGAACGTCATTGTCAAGGGCTGTGGTCTGCTGACAAATTTTGGCCTTATCCAAGTGTTCTACTTCATTAATGTAGCAATGAAAGAGAGACCTGGATTCCTCATTGCCCTGTCGAAAAAACACCTTATCTGGCTCCAGTGGTCTTCCAAAGTCTGACACAAAGCTGTTCATTCTGAATCTCTTCTCTGAAGACTCTGCATTGCTGTGAAGAAAAGTGAAATAAAAGATGGCTTACACTCCAGCCCATTCTCCTACAGAATCCTGGTTGTCGGCATGTAGGTCAGGCTGGCATATTTCCACTGAGCATGTATTGAGTGCAAGTCCCTGTACAGAGCATGCAGACAGACATCAGAACTGAGAGACAGTATTTCTGAACATGTACAAATAAACCCAAGGCAAAAGCCTCAAGATGAGGGCCCATGGACCTTCCTGCAAAGAGACATCTTGCTGAGGGATCTCCTGATATTCTCCATCATACACCAGCATTTCTCAGCGGGACTCTTCAATCATCTGTATTGTCATTACTTGAAGTCCTTCTTAAAAGGTAGAATCCTGAGTTTCAGACCCTCAGAATTTCTGGAAGTAGAATCCAGTAATCTATATTTTTATAGAATCTCCAGGATCACTACTCATGCTCAAGTTTAGAGCAACTGACCTACATCAGGCCAGTCTAAACAATGACAATATTATCTCGCAGAGATGATTTCACGTTTCTCAAAGTACTGTCATATACATTTATCTCACTCGATTTTCAAAACTGACCAGTGCAGTCACTTAGGGCAAAAATTACTATACCAAATTTACAAATGCACAAGCTAAGGTAAGGAGCAATCAGATTGCCCACTTCAGTCTCACAACCAGTTAGTGACAGGAGTGGGAAGAGCATAGATTCAATCTACAGGTCTGGAAAATCCGATCATATTTACGAAACAATAAGTTATCAACTGTCACCTGCATTTCAGAGATCAATAACCCTAGAAATTTTGCAGTCCATCAGATCGATCTCCTACCGTGATTACCAGGGTGATATCACACAAGAAATTTCTCTCAGAAGCCTGAGATTTTCCTTTTAGTAATAAGTCTAGTGAACAAATCTCACTGCCCACTGAGCAGAAGTAATGTGAAGATCATTTATTTACACAAGAGTATGACATGCAGTAGGTCACGTGTTCAGAATTTAAAGAACAATCACTTTAGGAAGACTCTGAATGACTTCTGCTCTCATGCAAATTTAAGTGGTCTTACATTTTAGTGGGTGATTTTCTTTCCTTGTCACTTCACTCTTGTTTAAAAGATGTTTGAGAACAGAGATGAGGGTGCCAGCAACCCGTGACCTAATAAGCTAAAATGTTAGCTGGCAAAAAGAAGGGCTTAAAACATTTGGGGAAAAAAAGCATGAATAAGATTGCTGGGGCCCGCACCATTCCCCAATGGCAGGGCTAAGAAGCTCTGAGTAATAGCTTTTCTGCCTGTCTGGAGCATCAGCTGAGTGTGAACGCGGACCCAAAAAGCCATCTGTGTGCAGCAGCCCTTCCATCACACAGGCCACATTTTCTCAGGATTAAGAATTGGGTCCATTAATTACCCTTGCTGAAGAACAAAGGCACAGAGAGCTTTATCCCTCCCTGGGACATAGCCAAGACAGCACCCACCATGATCTCTTGGTGTGATGGCAATGCAATTGGTCTGATTCTCTCTCTCTGAGAACAAGAGAAAAGTTCATCTTTGTAGTCTTAGACTCTGGTAAGCATTAAATACTCAATAGATAGTCTTTTTATTCCTCTTTCCTTGCCTGATAAACTAAAAGACCTGTATGTGAAAACCCGTGACCACGGACACAGCTTGCTTCAATGCAGTTTCTAGTCATCCTACCACTGGGTAATATTTACATACTGAAACTCACAGATCACAAGTATAAAATTCAATATGTTTTTATTAATTTATATACCCATGTAACCACTACCCTCAATCAAGATATACTGAATATTTCCTTTATCCTTCCATTCCATGTCCACCCCCTTTAGGATACACTGCTCTGATTTCTTTTTCCATTAATCAGCTTTGCCTGTTCTTGACCTTCCAGTCCATTTCCACTTCCAACAGGCAATCTGTTTGGATTTTTATCACCGCAGATCAGTGTAGCCTGTTCTTGAAATTCATACAAGTGGAATCAATATATAGCTTTTTGTGCCTGTATTCTTTTCCTCAGTGTTTCTGAGGTTCATCTATGTTGTTGCACTTAACAAGTTTGTCCTTTTCCTTGCTCAGTATAATTCCATTGTATAAATACACTACAATTTCTTTATTCATTTTCCTGTTAAAGGCCATTTGAATTGTTTCCCATTTAAAGTTGTAAGTAAAACTGCTATGAACTTTCTTGAAGATTCTCTCTGTAAATATATGTTTTTATCGCTCTTGAGTACATGCCTAAGAGTAGAATTACTGGATCATTAGTACATGTGGGCTTAACTTTATAAGAAACCATGGAGAATTTTTCAAAGTGGTTGTGCTGTTTTATACTCTCACCACAGTATATAAGAATTAGAGTTGTTCTACATCCTTGTCAACATTTGGTGTTGTCAGTCTTTTTAATGTTAGCCATTCTCATGGGAGTGAAATGTCACCTCACTGTGATTTTAATGTGTACTTCTCTGATGTATAATAATATCAAGTATCCTTTCATGTCCTTATTGGCTATTGGTTTATCTTCTTTTATAAAGTGTCTGTATGAGTCTTTCGCCCATTTTTTAAATTGGATTGTTTTTAGTTATTGATTTGTAGAAGTCTGGTAATATATTCTGAATATAGGTCCTTTGTCAGAAATATATATTTATTCCAAACATTTTCTCTTGTAATATATCCTGAATAAAAGTCTTCTGTTAGATATATTTTTTGCAAACATTTTCTCTTGATCTGTGATTTATATTTTCATTTTCTTAAAAATGTCTTCTGATGAGCAGAAGCTCTAAGTTTCAGTTAAGTTCAATTTGTTAACTTTTATGTTTATTGCCTTTATATCCTCTCTAATAAATAATTGCCAACCCTAAAATCACGAAGATATTCTCTATGCTTTCTTCTAGAATAATAGTGTCCAATACAGTAAGTACCCACTTGCCACAGGTGCCTATTTAAATTTAAATTAAGTAAAATTAAGTAAACTTTAAAACTTGATTTCCTGGTATTCACATTTCAAGTGCTCAATAAGCACTTGTGACTAGTGGCTACCTGATTGGACAGCACAGAGAATGTTTCCATCGTCACAGAAAGTTCTATTGGAGCTTTCTGGGTATATGATCTATACTGAGATAGGGGACAAAGTTCATTTTTTCCTTATGTTTATCCCAGCACTATGGTTATAAATTGATCTTATATAAAATTCATTGTAGTATTTCTACATACTAACAAACAATAAGAAAACTAAAAAAATAATTCCATTTACAATAGCATCAAAAAAATAGAATACTTAGGAATAAATCTAATGAAGAATGTGCTTTGGTTATGCCTGTGAAAATTAGAAATTACAAAAACCAAACATCTTAAATTTCAGCTTGATTAAAATTGTGGTTGAAACCAGAAGCCACAAGCTTCAATAACTGCAACATTGAAATAATGAGAAACTTTGATATGTTGACTGAGCTAGCAATTAACACCTTGTTATAAGTATCATAAAAAAAAAAAAGAATGAAGAATATTTGTTCCAGAGATGAATGTATGTGTCCCTCCAAAATTCATAGATCAAAATTTAATACCCTATGGGATGGTATTGGAAGATAGGACCTTTGAGAGGTGATTAAGTCATAATGGTGGAGCTCTCATGAATGAGATTAATGCCCTTATAAAAGAGGCACCAGAGAGCTCCCTCACTCCTTCCTCCATATGAAGACACAGTGAGAAGATCGCCATCTATGAACCAGGAAACAGGTTCTCAACAGACACTGAACCTGCCAGCACTCTGATCTTGGACTTCTCAGCTCCAAATTATGAGAAATAATTTGTTACTTATAAACCACCTTGTCTATGGCATTCTGTGATGGCAGACTAAACAGACGAAGACAATTTTTAGACAATTTAGAATCACCAAGAATTTTAGTGCCTTTATTTTTGTCTCAGTCCTACCTATTCTATATCCTGTTATCATGAAATTGAAATCTAGCTGATGTATTCAGGAGTACTCCTGTGCCAACCTAACCTTTAAAAAGTTACAATTGTTTATTTTGATAGAAACTTGAACCTTAAAATTGTTTGTTTCACTTATTTGTTTTAAGAATTTATACCCCTCGTTTTCAGTTTGTTATAAGAAATGCAATTTGAACTTAACCAATGATTGCAACATCACTGAACTGCAGCAGCCAGAACAAAAAGACTCTTCAGACCGTTCTGATTCTTAGTCTTTTCTTTTTCTCACCACGGGTTGTGTCATGTATCCTCTCTCCCTGTGGAATAATCTGAACCTGAGCAGAGAGCCTTTAATGTGAGGATCCATCCTGTTCTCTGACAGTGACTTTCATTCACTTCCATGGAATTCTCCTTCTCACAAACTCTGACTCCCCAAACTCTTCTGCCTTATATTTCAGACCCTCCACCCTCATATCCGCTGGCCTTTCCAGTGTTCTCTTTCACCAGTCCTCTCAGGTCCCAGCCACATGGGACCTGACTGTCCCCTGAGGCACTCAGGACTGTCCCTCTGTGTGCCTTTGCTTGTGCTGTTCATTCTACTCCTCTTTGTCTGCCAAAATCAAACACCTTCTTCACTGTCCAATTCAAACATCACTGCCTCATGGAGACTCTCTGATTTCCATGGAGGCAGCAATCTGTCTCTCCCCTGTGCCGCTTCTGTATTTTTACTGACCTTCTCTTAGAGATTGTATCCCTTCCTGGCTCCTGTCAGAGCTATCTGTATGCAGTCTTTTCTCTCCTATCTGCTAGTCTGTATTTTATTTATCTTTGCATCTCTCAAAGGGCCTTGCAGCCATTAGATCCCCAATCGGTGTTCTGAATGGCTTATCTGCAGGGTGGTCTGAAGCCCTGATTCCCATGAGAGACACAGCCACCTCCAGTGTTTAGTGAAGTGTACCTTCCTCTGTGACACAAAGACGAATCAGATCAGGAGGACAGACTCCTCCCACTTCTATTGGCAGAGGAAAAAAAAATCCCATAATGTTCTGGGTTATTCCCCTTAGGATTTTCCAGATTTATGACTAG